CAAGAGAATCACTATGAGTCTGATCTAGTAGTGAGACCCTGAACACCCTGTAGGCCCTTCCCTAAAATGCAAGAAGGGGAAGGGGAAGGGGAATCAGCTGAGAGCTACCATGCAAAGCCCGCCTCGTGGAAGTCCGGCACTGGGGAGCTCCTGGAGCTCTCAGGGGTTAGCTTTCAAGGATGGGGACAGTTCCTTCTGGAGACTTGGCAATGTCTTGCAGCTGAGGAGAGGGTAAAAAGTCCTTGAGCAGTACCAATGAACTGAACTCTAGAGCACATGTGTGTCCAACTGGCCAATGGGAAGCAAGGACATACATGACATGTTTGTGGATGCCCGGCATGGTTAAGTCTGTCAACGCTGCTTAGTGAGCACTGGGTGCACAGAGAGTGTCCTCCAGAGCCACCTCAAGGAGGTCTGACTGCTCTGTGGACAACAGCTTCCCAGAGGTGGTGCAGGATGTGGGGATGTACCTTCTCCCCCAAGGCAGTGGCTTTTCTGATTGCACCTGCTGTAGGAAAGGCCAGCAGCCAAGCAGATGTCAAGGATTCTGCTGCTTAAAGCACCGTTGAGCCTGGGTCTGCAGTGCCACCTGACAGTTACTAAAGAAGCCACTTGTTCTGATGATTAAGCTGTTGTGAAGGGGAGGAAATGAGGAACTATGCGCCGCTTAGCAAGAAAGAAAAAATGACACGGCCACCCACATCTTAGAGAAAAAGAGATGCTAAAAGACATTGTCCTCTAAAATTAAACTGATCATGAGCACGTGCAATTTCTTACAGCTTTCTCTTTTTAAAAATGACATGAGAATAAGGGCTGCCATTACCTGGAAAAATGGCTGGTTAGTGATTTGGAACATGCAGATGGTTTTCACCTGATATGAGCATATGATTACACTGTCGAATCCAATAAGCATCTTTACTTAAGAAGCTCAAAATTCTTAGGAGGATAGGGATCTTTTTGTGTCTTTGGATTGAATCCTACTTTCCATTTTTCAGATTTGGAATTGGCTCATTACCCATTCTAGTGTTTATTCCAATCCCAGTATTTACTATTGTGATGTCTTAAATCCTTATTATTTTCTTGGGAGATGCCTTTAATTTTGTACTGTTAAGCTCGGTTTTAGATGAGGAAGTAGCTATTCATATATTTATACTTATGCTGGTGTATATCCCTGGATCTCAAATTTATTTTTAGCTGACATTACTGGTACACTTTTGACGTACAATATGGTTGCAGTCATCATAGTTTGTACCTGTGCATAATACATCTTGCATCTTCTTTTTTCCCCAATCTTCTCCCTCTCTTCAACCCTTCTCTTCCTTCTTATTTATGAAAACTTTATTTCCATTTTTTCCCTTCTGTTCTCTTTTTCCTTTCTTCCCTTCTCCTTCCCTCTCTTGTTTGTGTCCCATTTCAACATTTTTTTCCTACTTCCCAATATGATAATCCATTTTGGTCCTTATTTGTGCTTTTGGTTTCTCACACAAGAAAAACAATGTGATATTTAAACTTGTATGTCTAGTTAATTTCACTTAAAAGAGTGGCCTTAAGGTGCATCAGTTACCTAAAAATGTCTCAAGTTTGTCTTTCTTTATGACCAAGTAGTGTGCATAAACCCCACATATTCTTTTTTTTTTTTAATGTATTTTATTACAGGGACTACAGGGTCTCACTACACAGATTGGACTTCTAGTGATCCTTCTGTTTTCAGTCTCCCAGACGCTGGTATTACAAGCATGCACCACCATGCTCAGTCTCAGTCACTGTCTCAGCGTGTCCTGGGGGTAGGGCTGGCACTGCACACCACAGATTGAACCGTGGTCCCTGCACCTGTCTAAGCAGGTGCTTTAGTCTGCTGAGCTATTTGGCTGGCCCTTTAAAAACCCATATATTCTTTACTCTTTCATCAGCTGATGGGCATCAGGTCTATTTCCAAGATTTTGCTATTCCACACAGTGACGCTCTAAACATGGCTGGTTATGGTATGATGCTGCTAACTTTTTTATAAAGGGAATATCTGGGTCAAGGAGAACCTGTAGTTTCAGTTTTTTAGGGAGTCTCCACATTGATTTTCATAGTGGTTGCACCAGTCTACAATTCCACCAACAGTGGAGAAGCGTTCTTTTTTCCTCACAGCCTCACTAGCATTTGTTATTGTTGATTCCTTTATGATAGCCATTTTTTTCTGGGGTGAGATGAAACCTCAGTGTTATTTTTTTTTTTTGAACCAGGGATTGAACTCAGGACCCTGTGCTTGCCAGGCAAGTACTTATTCTACTGAGCTATCTCCCTGTGCCCCCTCAGTGTTTTAATTTTCACTTCTTCAATGACCAGTGATATTGAACATTTTTCATATATTTATTTACTGTTTGTAGTTCTTCATCTGAGAAATACCTTACTAATTTTAGATGCTTATTTTTGTACTGGGAATTAAATTTTGGTGAGCTGGATTTTTTTGAGCTCTTTATATGTTCTAGATATTAGTTCTTTATCTGAAGAGCAGCTAGTAAAATTTTTTCCCATTCTGTGGGTTATCTTTTCACTCTGTTGAGTCCAGTTTGGTTGTAAAGAGAGGCTGGCTGACAGGGGCTAATTTTGAAGGCAGAAGAAGGCATTTTTAGGTCCAGGCAGCTGTACCAGCAGGCTATGGGTGACAGAAGACTGAGGCACATAGATGGAGGATAATTGTGGCAGCATTGACAGCTCAGAGATCTTGAACTGGCTTTACAGGCAGAGGAGGTATATTTTAGCAGTCTGACAGTCCATACTGTTTCCTTGGGGGACCATGATGGAGCTGGAAGGGACAGACAAATCTCAGAGGAAAGGTGCTGGTGGTTCAGACAAATCTGTTATTAAAGCCTCCCCCCAAATAGTGAGAGAGTTCCTAACCCCTGATGAAAGTTAAGTCCAAGTGAGCTGGCCTTTTTTCTCAGGATTGTTGCAGTTGAAAGGGCTTATGGGAGCAACTCACAAGAAGAGAAAGGCATCTTTTAAATCTAGAACAGTCCAAAAAGGGCGTATGGGTCAGGAAGCGCCGAGTGCAAGGTGATGGCTGTGTTGTTGATGGCACAGAGATTTGGCTTAAGGTGATTAACAGTCTATCAGGCTGATGAGTGGCTGGATGCCTATTTGTGCTTCCTGTGGCATCTGACAGCAGTGGGGATGAGGGGATCGCAGCATGGTTGATGGCTAGGCCTGGAGGTGAGTCCTTAGTTCTTACCTCTGAGAGGAAAGTTTTCAGAACTGCAGGATTGTGGTTATCTGCCTCAGGCTGAGCAGATGTCATCTTCCTCTCAGGGAATAGGGAACGGTCAAAATTGAAATGAGAAGGTTAAATAAGAGGGAGGCTGACTGGCTTGGTGCAAAGTAGCTTCTAACTTGAAGGGGAAGTTTCTTCTCAGAAGTGGGATGAGGACTAGCTTATACAGCAATTCATGTTTTGTAAGATGACCTCCTGGGCTTAGGGTTTGTGCCTGTCCAAAGGGGAGAGAGGTGAGAGTCCCAGTTTCTCCAGTGATGGCAGCTTTTGACAGAAGGAAATTTGAAGACAGAAAGTTCTGTTCTGTTGTCTACCAGGAAAGTCACAGGTTTGCCCCTAACTGTTGCAATGATCATGAATTCTTAGGGTCCCAATTTGATAGAGCTTAGTCTGCCCTCTATCTATTCAGGCCCAACAGGGTGCAACTCATTTGTCAGAGCTGACAGTCCAACTTTTCCTCAGTCAAAATGTGGAGCTCAGAAGGAATTGTTGGCAGTCATCTCGAGTGGGTGTTAGATGCCATCTGACCAAGATAGGCATAGCTGTTGTGAAGAAGAAGGCTCGGGGGGAGAGCCCCTGTAGCTCAAAGCAGACAATGACTACCTGGAACCAGTTCAATTGGCTAGTATTCTCGGGAAGAATGGGCCTCTTTTTCCTTTTCTTTATGGACATAGGGAGCAGATTGATTTCATTTTCATCTCTGTAAAAGCCCTTTTTTTCCTACAGTCAGGGATTGTGGGTTTTGACTAATTAATTGCCACTTCTGACTTCCTATCTGTGTATTCTATACCCTTGAATGATAGTGCAACACACAAAGGGTAGGTGCCCCTGAGAGAGAGAGAGAGAGAGAGAGAGAGAGAGAGAGAGAGAGAGAGAGAGAGAGACCATTTAAATGACCATCTGGCTGCACCTCTCATCCTCTCATGGGGACTTAGGTAAGACTTAGCTAAGGAGAATGCGAGGCCTCTGTTATGCCATTTGCCAGTTGCCACAGAACTGCAGGTGAAGGCCAAATCAATGATCATAACCAGTGCTTCCCAGTCTTGGTGCACAGATGGAGCAGCCTATTGTTTATGCTATCTGTTCTACTCACACATTCATTCAGTGGAGACTTGGAGATTAAACATTCCAACCTCCCTTCCCTTGAGGGGGACCTTCACAAAGTTGATCAAGCTCTTCTGCTCAAACTAATTAGGACCGGCAGATTGACTAACTGGGGTTGCCCCAGAGATCTTACCAGAATCAGGCAGGCAGAAAGACAGACAGATTGTGTTCTACTCCCTATGGGATCTGATGTGAACTGCTTGAGTGGTGAGCCAGGAAGTCTCCTCCAGATCTCCAAGTGGACTGGAGAAATGTTGAGGGCTTGCCTTCCTGTCATGACCTGGAAAGGTCCTGGCTTTGTCTGTGAGGGCCACAGCTAGTGACCAAAGAGGTCAGCACAGTGGGTCTCCCAGCTGATGCACCAAACACAATGGCAAACAGAAACACCAGAATGACACCCAGGATTTGGAGACAGATTTATTTTATCCCAATAAACACTGATTGGGATCACTCCCAAAATATCATGCCCCAATCTCTGGTGGTCTAGGGCTTAAATGGGATAAGCAAGCAGTAAGTATAGAGACAGAATGGCTTGACATTGGGGACTGGTTTGTACAGTGTGCAACACAGTGACCAGCCTCTAGTAAGAGACCACAAGCAACCAGAACTGGAACAGGAACTATTACCTGGGAAACTAAGAAACTGAAGTATGGTGTTGTCGGGGGTGGGTGGGTGGGCATTGTCTGTTGCAGAATGGGATAAATAGTCTCAGACGTGAGCAAAATATAGGTGGAGAATAGTTAGCTAACAGACCGTAAATCTCAAAGATGGGACAATAAAGGATCCTGTACCATGACTGTATTAGGCATGCCTGAAATCAGTGCAGGAAGTAAAACACTCAAAAGTTTACGAGAGTTGAAGCTCAGGGACAGATACACACCAGCATTGTAGGATACGAGTGTCAAGTCATTGGCTGGTTCCAGGCTAAGCTTAAGGAGGCTTGGCCTGAAGGGTGACGCCAACAAGCAGGAGGTCCTGAAGAAAAGGCAAGAGCAAAAATGGAGAGGCACTGCTCACTTGAGCTACCAAATGTGAAATTCTCAAGTTCATATCCTGGGTCTGGACTCCCTTGCAAATTCCGGACCTTTTGTCCAAACTTCTTGTTGGTAAACCAACAGCTACTGAAGTCACATGTGTCCTCTGCCACCCCAAATCAATGTGACTTCCTAATTTTTGTTGCCATATACAACCATATTACCCCTCATCATCTAGAAACTTAAGTATTTCCCATCTATTGGACACACAGATGTATTAATTTGTGTAAAAGTCCCATCAATCTTTCTTTCACTGCAGGCCCCCAGTATTGCCTCACAAATACAGCAGGGGTGGTCTCTCTGTTTCTGATGATCTTCTCCTTGATCTGAATAGCTCGCTTCCTTGATTCTAAATATCCTAGGGTTCTTTCCACAGAAACCATGCATAGCTCATCAACAACTTCAAGATAAAGGCCAGACTTCATTCTAGCTCTATCCTACTCTTCCTGGATCTTGCTTTGCCTTCCACCTCACTTGTTTCCTAATTCTACATACCCTTCGAGACCTGTACCTTTTCCTCCTATCAGAAGCTTTTCCATACCAACCTTGCCCTTTATTCACTTCTTGGACTTCTGAAATGGTCCTGGATACTCTTTATTTGTCAATTCACCACATTTCTTTCAGGACAAAACTACGAATAGCCACAGGATTATAAAACCATGTTGCTGGAATGACTCTTACCATTTAGCACACATAAGTCAGTGTTTTCATTTTATAATTAAGAGACTTGTCCAAGGTCATGTGGCTGGAGAGTGGCAGTCAGAGATTGAACATATACAGCCTCATCGCTAGTTTAGCACACATTCTCTTTGTTCATACTTATCTCCTGTAATGCTGCGTTATTTGACCCTTAAACTGTTCTGTGTTGAGCATGAGTATGCATGTATCTTTGGATATTCTCCAGAGAGCTGAGCAGTAGGTCTCAAATTTAGCAAACACTTGCTGAGCTTCAGCTTTGTGCCATGTGCCAACAATAGGAGGATGAATAAACATGTGCCTTATTTATGAGAAACTTAGATTAATAATTTTAATGTAGTGCTGTGATAGGGATATATGTCAAGGGCTATGAAGGATAAGGCAGGTTCCTCAGATAGACAAGGCAATAAAGGATGTAATAAAACTGAACTGGAAATAATTCTAGTAATGGACACTGGAATACTACATTTCATTTTTAATTAAATAAAACAAGAAAATCTATTTAAGATTTGTGTATTAGTTGAGTTAGCCAAGATGTTTGAAAAGAAGGGGGCAGGTTTAATGATTATTTACGTTGCTAAAACCATGGTAGATAAAGAACATCTTGTATCTCTTTTTGTCCACCTAGTATCAGTTGTGTCAGAAGAACCGGATACAGAACTCTCTCCAAATAGTAGATCAGAAAAGACGGAAGATACCCCAAAAGAATGTGAAAATGCTTCCTGTTTGGTGGCATTTGAAAACATAAAGACAAATGTGACTGAGATGATGTTAACCTTGTTAGTAGAGAATGTCAGTGGCCTGACCACTGATGACTTTCAGGTGGAAATAATACGAGATGTTGATGTTGCTGTGATTACCTTTAAAAACCATACAGGTAAGCTCAAGTGACATTTCCTTTGCCTGTCTTTTTGTCCCACACCCTCAGTTTTAGGATACTGAGTTAACAGAACATCTGGGAAAATCTGGGTTTTTAGGGTAGCAATAAAAGAGGCCTCCAAGTTACTATAGATGCTTTTCTTGAAACACAAGAAAATAAGTTTTGAAAATAAATTCTGGTATGTTTAATAGATTGATGTTGTGTGTGTGTGTGTGTGTGTGTGTGTGTGAGAGAGAGAGAGAGAGAGAGACATTCAAATAGAAACCTGTTGTCTTTATTTGGAGTCAATAGTTCCATGTTTCTTATTGGGAGAGGTAAATACTGATGTTACCAAACACTGATGTCAACTTAGTGGACAATAATGATAAAATAGTAATAAATACTCATATAGCGCTTATGATAAAAATCAGGTACTATACTAAGCCTTTTACATCTATTAAATTATTTCTTCCTTTCAACAACCTTATGAGGTTATGAGATTACTCTAACTACTCCTATATACATTTGGGGTTGAGAGAGACACAAATGTTCTAATAAGTGGAAGACCTGGACTTGAACCCAAGTAGCCTACTTCTGCAGCCTGTTCTCTTGCCCACTTCATCATTTTTCTCCTTAGGACTTTGATAGTCATTCACACATGCAGGAATGATAAAATGCGTGTGATATGGTGAGTAAGCATTCTTAAGGGTCATTGTCAGGACAGGAATTATCCTCACCTAAAATAAGGAAATTTCCCAGTTCTGAGTCCTCAGTAGTCTGTGGTTATGGCTATGGAATGGTCAGTTAAGAACAGAAATCATGGAGTCAGAATCTAGCTCTGCTGCTTACCTAGCTATACAAGGCTGGCCAAGGTACCACCCTCTCTGCACCTCACTATCTTTCCTTATAAAATAGGGATAAGTCAGGGGAGGTAGCTCAGTGGCAGAGCAGTTGCCTAGCATGTAAGAGGCTCTGAGTTTGGTTCCCAGCATCAAAACAAAATAAAATGAAGTTAATAATATTTACTAAAGTTTCTGTAGAATTAAGTGAGAATGTTTGAAAGGCACCTAGCGTAGTACCTGAGAGATGTGATAAGGACTTAGCAAATAGAGTTATTCTTATTTCAAGTTTATTGCTATTATCATTATTATTGTCATGGGCCTTGCTATGTAGTCCAGGATGGCCTAGAATTCACTATGTAGCCCAGGCTGGGCTATGTGTGATTCTCATGCCTCAAATTTGTGACTCTCCTGCCTCAGCCTCCTGAGTGCTGGGATTACAGGTATGTACCACCATACCTGGAAGTTATTATTTCTAATAAAAGCAATCTAAATGGCCTTACTTTTTGTTCACTGGTCAAAAATCTTGAACAATTAATGTATTAATCAGCTTCTAATTACCATAACCAATACCTGAGACAACCAACATATCAAAGGAAAGGATTATTTTGGTTCACAGTTTTGGATGGTTAAGTCCATGGACGGTTGGCCCTGTTGTTTTGGGCCTGTGTAGGCAGCACACCTTGGTGGCAGCACAAGACAAAACTGCGTACCTTGTGGCCAAAAGAGAGATGAAGGGTAAAAATCCCACTGTCCCCTACCTCCCCACCAATGACTGGAAAACTTCCTGTTGGGCCCCATATCTTAAAGGTTCTGCCAGATCCCCGCAATGCCAAGCCAAGACCAAGCCTTTAACACATGAGCTTCCAGATCACATGCAGATCCAAACTATGGAACCCACTACTGCATTGTCAGGCACTGGTCTAGGTGCTGTGAATGTGAACATGAATAGGTTGTAGTTCTTGCTCTTGAGAATGTCAAGCTTGTATATAAATGAATGGGAGGGGAGAAGCTGTCTCTCTCAGCTGTGAGCCACAAGCTATGGAAGAGGAAAGGGAACGAATCACAGAGACTTCATCTTGCTCCTGTGAAGGCTGTGCTCTGGGAGCACGCTGCCCTTTCCATCTGTAAGCCTTTGTTAATCATTCCAAACCTAAATCACACACACACACACACACACACACACACACCCCAAAACAAAAATACCCCAAATAATTTACTAATGTTTTTTTCTTTTATAGACACTGCAAAATTTGTTAATGATTGTGCCAGACACCATACAATTCAACAACTTAAATTGTCTCCAAGAGTTCTGGAAGAGACAAAAACAATACGGGTTGAAAACCTGCCCCCTGGTGTTGATGACTACCAGTTACAACTTTTCTTTGAAAATCCTTTCCATGGAGGTGGAAGAGTGGCTCATGTTGAATGTTTTCCTGAAGAGAGTTCAGCTCTAATAGAATTCTGTAACACAAAAGGTAGTAGTATCTCTTGGCCTCCCGTATGGAGCATAATCTAGGCCATTTGCAGCAGATCTTGGCAATTGGTTAAATTCTGATGCATTTTGGTTGCTTATTCATATATTGGAAATGGAGTTAATCATTTGTCCTTCTAGAATATGATGCGTAATGAGGCTAGTGATTCAAACTTTGGAGAAGTTCTCTAGTTTTGAGACATAAAGGAGATTCTTTCATAAGTCCCCACCTACTGGACTGAAAAATAGCATCATTCTTGAAATCTTTCAAATATTGTATGTAGAAAGAGATGCTCTATATCTTAACCATCTATGTAATTTTCAAACTAATTTTACCAATTTTCTAAAGACACACTCAGAAACATATTTGGCTCCTAGAGAGTGCTCTTCTTCCCCACTTTCCCTGCCAAGGTCCTCCTTCAGCACATGTTGTCTTAACTGCAACTTTAAGGCATTTAAGCTGACATCTTTATAGTTCTTAGTTCAACAAAAGTTCAAATCCTGGTTTTGGTGCTTACTAGATTTGTGATCTTGAATAAGTTACTTCAATGCACAAAACCCTTGGTTTTCTTGTTTATAAAGTAGGCGTGACTTTTCTAGTCACCTTATGAGAATATCATGAAGTAACAGATACAAACTGCTTGGCAGATGGCACTTAGAACATGCTAATGGCCACTGGTCCTGCTTAGCTGTAGAGCCCTAAGGAGTAAGGTTAGAAGGTGGGTCTGTATCTTTGGGCTTCTAAAGACCACATTCTTTCCATCATGCCTGACACCAGCCTGAGAAAACAAGCACATGCAATGCAGTTATTTTTAACATCTTTTTCATCAAGGATACTATTGTAATCCAACTTGTTAGTGGTTCTCATTCTGATTTCCTTCCTGATGATGTCCCTTGTACCTGCCTAACAATATAAAATAAAGAGGTCCTTAGGGGAGGAGAAGTGTACACAGACACATAGTACATAGACACATACACAGACACACACATACACACACACACACACACACACACACACGCACACACACACACACGAGGCTGTCTCAGTACACATTGCAGGAAGGGGATTGTAGCAGGGACAGAAGGAGGTGTAGTGTATGGGGCTGGACTCCCAGAGGACTTTGAGGATGCTTCTACTTTATCCTTTTATCAAAAGGAATCATAATCACAGTCTCTGTACCTCAAAAGGTTGTGAATATTAAATGAATTGAATCCATATGAAGCACTTACCAGTGGTGTCTGGTACGTGGAAACTATTGTAATGATCCTCCTTGTGAAGGTATCAGTGGAATTTAAGTCAACCACTGAAGCTAAAATTGTATGTAGAAAAAGAAAAAAACAGCATGCTACTCAAACAAGCTTCACTTTGAGCACCAAAATATTCTTTACACTGCAGCAAACAACATTTCCATGATTTTGACCAAACTCATATCTATTTCTCAGTGTGGTGGCAATATGTTCATGCTATCACAAAAACAAAAAACAGAGTTTAACAAAATTTTAATTTGACTTGGCTGTAAAGTAATCATCGCATTAAATAGAGGCTTTCGGTGTACTGTTAAGACATGTCAAACTGTATCTGAGCACTTTGGAAGTAGAGCTGCCTTTTAATTATATGTCATCAAAGTTGTACAAACATTAGGATTTATTTTCCTGTAGAATGGGAGAGTTTTATGTTGTTTTGTTTTCATTGGCAACAGACAACATTGCAATCACCTTATTTTGATTTTTAAAAATTTCTTTTGCTTTTCAAGTGCTGGATAGCATCCTGACCAGGAAACACAGCTTCAATAAGATGCCGCTCTCTGTCTTCCCCTTCTATCCCTCTTTGGGCACAGCCTTGTATGGAGAGGAACAGCCTGTTATCAAGCTGCCAGCACCCTTCCAAGAGTCCCTGCCACTGCCTTTGTGGAAGTTCTTTCAGGAAAAGACCCACTTGAGTAAGGAGCTGGACGATGAAATGGAACGTCATCACTGTAAGCTAACATGGTCCCCAGTGGACAGTAGAGTTACCATCAGACCTGCAGCCACCTTAGTCAATCAAGGAAGACGAAGAATCAAGACATGGCAGAAAGATGCTTCTACTGTGCTCTCTGGCATCAGGGATAAATATGCAGTTACTTCATTTAAGGTGACTCCAGTAGTATGGGGCGCCATAAAAAATGACCTACAGGATAATAGGATCTTGACTGAGTTTGATGCGTCTAAGGAGACTGTAACCTTAGCAGGAAAGTCAGAAGATATCCAAAATGCTAGTCCACAAATCAAGGAATTAATAGAAAGGACAACTCAAAAAATTCAAAAGGAAGAGCAGAGTCTGCAGGAAAATGTGGCCATTTCTTCAGAAAAGTATTTTCTCTTGTGCCACAGTGGTGCTTTGGAGCATGTGCTCATCGCGTGCCCAGAGGTGGACATCTGTTATGATGCCAGCACACAGAACCTGTGCCTTAAAGGATCCCCCGCAGATGTATACAAAGGAAAGTGTGAAATCCAGGCAAAATTGTTCACTATGGCTAAGAAAACCGTTAAGGTCTCTACTGAAGTCTTTGAGTTTTTGCAGCAAGTAAACCCGGAGGAATTCTCTGAATCTTTTTTCATAGCACAAAAAAATCTTACAGTTTATGAGCTCAAGGATACAAATGTCCTCTTAACTAGCTACTCTTCTGAAGTCCTAGAGGAAGCTGAAAAACAGTTGCTCACAGCCTTAGATTATAAACGCATTGAAGTTGAGGACAAGGAAGTTCTGGCTACCATCAAATGGAAAAAGTTCATTAACAATGTCCCCCAAAAATCTAAGTCCACAAGCATTATGGTAATCAATGAGTCAACTGCAGGGAGAACAGTTGAAGTCATTGTAGCAGGTGTGGTGAAGGAAGTAAATGAGATAAGTAAGTTGATTTCTGATTTCTTGGAAAAAAACATGAAAATAGAGAGACTGATTGAAGTACAGATAGCCATGGTTGTCAACTACTTAAAAGCAGAAAAGAAGCTATTATTGTCAAAATTAAAGAAGGGAGATATACAGGTAGTTTTTAATCCAGAGAACAAACAAAAAGGTATTTTACTAATTGGCTCCAAGCACCAAGTTTCAGAGGGTATGAAAATAGTCAACGAAGCCGTGAAGTCTGTTTTTGTAAAAAAAGTTGCTATTGACAAGCCAGGAATCAGACAGTTCTTCCAAGACAAAGCGTGGTTTTGTAGAGGTGAGATCAGGAAGTCTTATGGTTGCTTCATTGAAATTCTGAAAGAAGAAGACAAGGTAAGAGGCAAAAGTGATAGGCCAAAGTGCCTCATCCAGAGGGAGGTGGCCCCTGGCGTCATCCTGACGGCCCAGCAGGGTGACTTGACTCAGTTTTCTGTTGGTGTGGTGGTGAATGCAGCAAATGAGGACCTCAAGCATTGGGCCGGCCTAGCTGCTGCCCTCTCCGAAGCAGCTGGCCCAGAGCTCCAAGAAGACTGTGAGCGGATAGTGAAGAGAGAAGGCCGGATCCTCCCAGGCAATGCCGTCCTCTCAAAGGCAGGGAAGCTGCCTTGCCACCATGTGATCCATGCTATAGGGCCCCGGTGGGTTGGAGATGAGGCCCCGAGATGTGTGTACCTGTTAAAGAAAGCTGTGGAAAATAGTATTCTTTTAGCAGAAAAGCACAAGTGCCGCTCCATAGCCATTCCCGCCATTAGTTCTGGAGTCTTTGGTTTCCCCTTACAGCAGTGTGTGGAGTCTATTGTTCTGTCCATCAAGGAAAACTTCCAACATAGGCAGGATTTGTGCACCTTGAGAGAGATTTATCTTGTGGACTCATCAGAGAAGACAGCACAGGCTTTTGCTAAAGCTGTGGAAACTGTATTTAAACACCCTCTGCCCAGCAAAGTGTCCCAGCCTGATACAGCATCCCAGCCAGACACAACTTCTCTGTACACAGTACTAGCAGCAAAACCTGTGACAAAATCAGAGGAAGTGGCATGTCTGAAAGCTCCAGGAGGCCTGAAGATCCTACTGGTGAAAAAGAGTGTGCAGGATGCTACGGTGAGTGTCCCTTTTCTCAGAACACTACCCAGGTCCTAGGGTGCATTTCCCCAACGCTTTAAGGATGTTGAACGTCTTTTCATGTTGAACATTTCTTTGGATATTTATGTATCTTTGAAGAAATATCTACTTAGATCCTTTGTCTGCCTATAAATTGGAGGATTTCTTTGTTATTGGGTTCTTTATACATTTTGGGTACCATTTTTTTAATCTGCTGTCTGATTTGCAAATATTTTATCCTATTTTAAGGGCCAAGTTTTCTTTTATCCTTTTATATAAGATTTTACTTTTTTTAAAAAGTACCTTTTCTCTTAGTTTAAAATTGTAAACTAGGGGGCCAGGGAGATGGCTCAATGGAATAAGCGCTTCCCTGGCAAGTGCAAGGGCCTGAGTTCAATCCCTGGTTCTGCCAAAAATAAAATTGTAAACTAGAAGCTTAATTAGATTTTTGAAGGGGGCTTAAGTAATAATTACAAGAGTCACAGCTAACATGGATAATCATTTTGTGCTAGGCACAGTCCTGAGTACTTGGCAAACACTTTCTCGTTTGATGCCATGATGTAGACTGTAGAATGATCATCCTCACGCCCAGGTAAGGGGCTGAGATTTAGAGGCTTGAGGTAGTTCACACAGGTCCATAGCTAGCAATCAGTAAGACTGGGATTTATTTTGGTTCTTGACCACTGTACTAATGTAAAATATAAAAATAATTTGTTTTTCATGTTTAAAAACCAAACAGATAAAATGCCCTTTTAAACAAGAGTCAGGAATGGGAATGGGCTCTGTTCCTAGCCCCCTTGACACTGAGTACTAATAGAAATTGTTCATAGGATGTGAGTCATGGGCTGCAGTGTGTACTCCCCAGTGACTCGCGCACGGTGCATCACATTTCTTCTCTCCTCCTGGATTCTCTAACACAGCCCGATTAATCTGCTCACGTGCTCTGTCTGATGCCAAAGCTTCCACAGCTGCTCACTGACTGTGTGGCACCCAGGTGACTTGGTAACTAAAGTGCCACCTGGGGTAACACGTCCAGCCCATTTAGCACCATTTTACAGCAGAAGCTCTTGATTGGGTCAAAGTACTCTGCTGTCAGTCTGCAGCTTATCTACTGTGAGTATGCTCACGCTTTCCCCTGGTGCCGACTGCCTGCTGCTACTACCGCCATTTCTCACTCCCAGAGTCACACATGGCATCTTCATCAGCTACTGTGGGGCTTTCCTCTGGATTCCTTCAGCGATCCCATACCATACCATTTAGAGATAATTGTTGGCAGCTTTCTTCTGTTTTAGAAAGTTTCTCAAATAAGTATTTAACAGCACTTTGTCCTGGGTTAGTAGTTCAGTCTCAAAAACCTTAATCATTTTCGTTGCCTCTCATTCCATCAAGCCCAGCAACTCACCTGTAGTTATGGCTCAACAAATGCCTTGTGTTAGAATTTGAAACAAATCTTTGGTTTTTCTCCTTAAGACCCATGTTGTTGTCAACTCCATTCCTTCGGATCTTGCGCTCAGCAATGGGCCCCTTTGTCAGGCCCTTTTGGAAAAAGCTGGGCCAGAGCTCCAGCAGGAGTTGAACATAGCCGGACAAGGGGCAAATGTCACCGTGGGCACAATTCTCCAAACTAGCGGTTGCAATCTGCAGTGTGACCATGTGCTTCATGTGGTGGCTCCATCATGGAGGAGCAACAGTGCAGGTGCCCAAAAGGTAAGGGCTAGTTTTAAATTCTCCAGGGGATGGTGAGGAGTCGTTTGGACGGTTCTTTCAGCGTACTACAGTTTACATCCTTTTTCTCTTCTGTCTACTTTTGGCATATTCTGCCACTGTGGCAATTTCTTTGAGCCCCAACAAGTTGCTGTGTGGGTACTAGCTAATAATATGAACCGATTACTGTGCTCTTAGTTCCTGGGGGTTGGGAAGGGACTGCTGAAGCATGCATTACTTCAATGAGGAAAGTGACTCGAGAGCCCGAGGGTGGAAGACAGGGGAAAAAAGTCATGACTTTCTTTTCTGCTATGTGGTAGAGGGGTGGAGTAAGTTTGAATAGTTTTCAAGGGTCTCCCCTATCTCTTCTTTTCCTGTTTTTCTAAGGTGAAACAGAGTAGACAGAGATCACAGGCTGCTAGATTCTTTTTTTTTTTTTTTAAATTTTTATTTATTTATTTATTTATTTAGATTCTTGTTCTTTTGGTTCTGACTCTCACTTCTAGACAATATGTATGAGAATGTGCTTTATGATTTTCAGGTCATGGAAGGCATAATCAGAGACTGTTTGGAGATGACAGAGACACTGTCTTTGCAATCAATTGCATTTCCAGCCATTGGAACAGGAAATTTGGGATTCCCTAAGGACGTATTTGCCAAATTAATACTTTCAGAAGTGGTGAAATTTAGTAGCAAAAAGCAGCTGAAAACCTTACAAGAGGTTCACTTTCTGCTGCACCCCAGTGATCATGAAAATATTCAGGTAAGCTCTGTGTTAATTTTTGACTATGTTGGCAATCTTGGTTTGGAACTCAATGTCGTCAAGTATCTTCTTGGTCTAGTAGAACGTTTCTCTCTTGTACTCCTCAGACAGGAAGGTAAGAGAATAGTGTTGACTAGTTGTTGCTTGGTGAGTTTCAAGGAAAATTCTGGATACAGAAAAAATTTAACATCTGATTTCAGCAAATTTCAAACACACACAACAGTAGGTACAATTTAAGTTTTTTTTTAATGACAGGATTTATTCTTTTTTAAAGAATAACAACCACAATACTGCAGCATGCCTAAAATAAATTGACTAATTCTTTTAATTGATAATAGAGTCAATGTTCAAATTTCCAACTATCTCATAGATGATTTATTTTGTCTTGGCAGATTTGTGTCTGCGTCAGAATCCAAATTATACCTACACACTGTAATGCAATTGAGACAGTTCTTCTTATTTATTTATTTTTAGTTTTTTAAAGACAGTGTCTTACTGTGTAATCCCAGCTGGCATTCATCTCACTGTGCACTATATAGCCCAGGCTGGTGTAGAACTCATAACAATGCTTTTGCTTTGGTCACCCGAGTACTGGATTGAAGGTGTATGCCACCATACATGGCAACATTTTTTGTTGTTGTTTTGTTTTTTTGAGACAGGGTGTCTCAGTGTAGTTCAAGCTGGCTTTGAATCCACTACATAGCTCAGGCTGCCCTTGAACTCAGAGATCCCCCTGCCTCTGCTTCCCGAGTACTGGGATTATAAGTGTTCACCACTATGTCCAGCAGCAACATACTTCTTAAGACTTTCAGGGGCCGGGGAGATGGCTCAGTGGGGCCGGGGAGATGGCTCAGTGGAATAAGTGCTTCCCTGGCAAGCACAAGTGCCTGAGTTCAATCCCTGGTTCTGAAAAAAAAAAAAAAAAACTCATCTTAAAAAAAATAAAAAAATAAAAAAAAAGACTTTCAGCTTACAGGATTTACTTTCACATGGGCATAGACTATTTAATATATATTATAAAAGTGTGGCTGTGTCCCTGCCAATGGGAAAATGTCAGGATGGGATACAAGTGCTTTCTGTTCCTATTGCTGGGAATGCAATCAATTATAGGTGAAGGATGTGGTTAGAATGAATGGACACATCTCCATGTGAGTGAGGGAGTTAGGACCAGAAATCTGTCTCCAGTCTGTCAGCTCACATTTTCGGAACATCAGCTGTGGACAAGCCGCTAGAGTAGCTATCACGGGAGCACCAGAGGCATGTAAGCCCTCGGATCCCTGCCCTCCAAATCTTTAAAATCTAGTGAGTAGATGGTATTGAATGTTTGGAAAATTCTATGATATTGCAGAAGTTTAACAGATTGGAGCAGGCAGCCTGAGATGTCCATAGAGCGATCTTTGGACCATCTGAATTTTTAGGTTAGGGCTGGGGATGTAACTCAGCAGCATAAATGCCTACCTGGCAAGGACATGGTCCTGAGTTTGATTCCCAATAATGTCCCCTTCCCCCAAATGAATGAAATGAAGAAAATTAAGATTTTGCCTGAATTTTTAGGTCATACTTTTATTTATTTATTTATTTTTTCTGGATCCAGACACTACCTTTAAGTCCTGGGAAGCAAATAAATCTAACCTACATCTTACTCAGGCAGCCAAACCACCTGAGTAAAATATGTAGTCCATTTACTTGGCCTGTATACTTACAACCACTTGTACTCAACCAAGGAATTTGGACAATCTCCTTAGGCCTCACATCATGTGAGGTGATGTAATTTGTGGAGCAAGGATGTAGCACGTGAGTCCTCCTCCCTGTGGGAGACAAGCTGTCTACACACAAAGCAACTGAGCTTGAGATGTGCAGGGCTTAGAATGAACCTCAAATCTCACTATTTTCTAGTCAGCGCCAGCTTTCATTTTCTTTCCTGAGCACTGAGTACTCTGAAAGTATTCCACAGAATAAGGTTAGTTTTTACAGGTACTTTAAATGCTGTTCCAAACTATCATGACTTCTCTGTCTGTGACTATATACATTTAAGATTTTTAAAAGATCAGCAAAACATATTGAGATATGTGTAAGCGGAGGCTTAATGGAACATACAGAGCGGTAGCTAGTGGTCTTAACATGGCTTCAAGATATGATTCAGTGGGGCTATTTAAAAAATTTTTTCAATCAATTGTTAATGTTTAAAAATTTTAAATTTTACACATAACTCTAGATGTCCAAAAATGATGTGACCTAGGGAATAGGGAGATGGCTCAGTTGAATAAATGCTTGCCTGGCAAGCACAAGGGCCTGAGTTCAATCCCTGGCTCTGAAAAAAAAAAAAAAAGATGTGACCTAAAATGTCTAATATTCTGGCACTCTGGGGCTCAAACATGTGGGATCTTTCTCTTAATGTTGCTTTCTGCAAGTTGGCAAGTTATTTGCTTTTACTGATTCTGAAGGTGATACATTTTCATTGGGGAAACTCTGAACAATGCAAAGAAAATGTGTCGATTCTTTAATTGCCTCTTATCCAGGCTTTGCTACAAGTATACTTTTAAAAGTAGGATTATATAATAGATAACTTGGTTTTTTTTTTTCTAAATTATGTGTCCAGGCTCTAAAGCCTTCATGAGTGTAATTCATTCATTAACTGTGGAATGTAATTGTTACCACTGTGTTTGTTTGTAGGCATTTTCAGATGAATTTGCTAGAAGAACAAGTGGAAATGTTAGTGGCCAAACTCCCAAGGCTGCAGATAAGCAAGGTTCGCCAAAAGTTTTAACTTGACAAATGATTTCTTGTTGCTAACTATTCAGTGACAGGTAAAAGGTGACAGGGATGATATTTTTGGGGAAAAAATGACTGATACATAATACACTATTATGTTCCATACACCTGAGAATATTTATATGACCTAGGACAAAAGAGAAAGTGGACCAAATTATATAATCAAACACTGGGTTTTTAAGTAGTGGTGAGACCACAACTTTCAAAGGCTAATACAATATATATATATTTTTTTTTCAAAATAGACACACTGAGAGATAATACTCATTAAATTTTTTTCTGTTATATTTCTTGCAACTGTTTTTGAGGTTATCCTGTTTGGAGTTCCTTAAAATTTTGTTTTTAAGATGGGGTTCTCACTGTGCTGTGCAGGCTGGCCTCAAACTCTTGAACCTCCTGCCTCTTCCACCTCCCAGAGCTCTGGTATTACTAGCATGCACCACATTGCCCAGGCTTACTGAGGTTTCTCAAATCTCTACATGTATGTCTTTTATCAAATTTGGAGAGTTTTAAATTATGATTTACTGGGTTTTTTTTTCCCTGTTCCTATCTGTTTCCTTTTCATAGTCTAGTAGTCATATGACCAAGAAGCTTTGCAATATGTCCCACAGACTTCTGAGGAGCTGTCCTACATGTGCTCCACTGTTTTTCCTTCTAATAGAAAATTTATATTGATTTACCTTCAAGTCTTTTTTCTGTCCCTTATGCTCCTGAACCCAAGTAGTGAAATTTTAAACTCAGATAGTACATTTTAAATTTCTAAAATCTCCATTTGATTCTGTTTTGTACAGTTTTTTAAAAATTTATTTATCTATTTATTTTTCAAAACTGATTAATAGGACATTTTCAATAATTAATACATTGTACATTGTTATCTTCTTAGTGGTTATCCATAGTACAAGATACAGACAGGATATCCTGTCCAAGCACTATTAGTACAAATCTTTCTTCTCATTGAATTAAGCGAAAATAGGTATATATCTATCCTAACCTGTGTATATAGATACAGAATGGTCCTTCCTTTGTAGCCCCTTTTTTTGTTTAGTCCTCTCAGAGGTGAGTATTCCATTGGCATCTAAATACTATAGGTGTGAATTCAGCAAAACAATCCAACACGGTCAACCAACACAGTAGTAGGTTGTCTGCAGAAGTTGTTGATTTGAGCCTTTCACAGCTCAGCATATTAATATGGCTTTACTTTATATATCTCACTTTTATACTTTTCTGCTGGATGGTCAAGTCCAAGACAAAGCAAGACCTATATAACAAGAAATGTAACTTTTGTATCTGATATGGTCAGTCAAGTATCCTCAGGATTTATCCCATAACCCTGTACTGCACTTTATAGATCCTTTGTCAGTGTCAGCCATGTGGATGAGTCACAGCCATTGCTTGACCAATTTGCTCTCTGTGAAAGCCTGAGAGAATGTTTTCTCTCCAGGTGATTCTCCTTAGGCACACTCTACGTCATCGATCACATTGCTCTGTGGCCCCATAATCTCCTTGATCAGAAAATTTGGGACACAACTGAATTACATGATGCTACAGTACAGGTTCTCATATGTCCTCAGTCTTCACTGACTTTGAAAGGCTAGGGCCAAAATGTTGGCTGTCCTTGCAGCCCTTCTATTTCTCTAATTTTTGGTCTGCAAACTTAGGTTGTTAACCCTCCAGAAGAGAAGCTTATTATTCCCCTACTACATATGCAGTTGGGTTTATGTTGTGCATAGTTTTTCTTTGTTATTATTACCTGTTTGCCACACATAATGATAACATTTATCACAGGGAATTTGTACCCGTACACATGTCATTCTTCGTTTTTTCTTATCCTGCTCCTCTCCCTTTAACCCTTCTTCCCCTGCCCCTTTACAGAAGCCCTGTTTGCATTTTTTCCCCTTTAGTCTCTTACTTTTAAAAATCCTTTCCCCTTCCTTCCCTTCCCCTTCTCCTCTCCCTGGTTCCCCTTCCCATTTGAACATGTCTTTCCTACTTCCTACTATCTGTCCCCCATTTTGCTCGTTACTCACCCTTTGGGTTTCTCGCACAAGAGGAGCAATGTGATATTTAAACTTGTGTATCTGATTTATTTCACTCAAAACTATGGTCTTGAGGTGCATCTATTTACTTTAAAATGACTCAGGTTTATCCCGCTTTATGCCAGAGCAGTACCCTATTGTATCTAAGTATGATTTTTTCTTCCCGTTGTTGAGCCTATAGGCTGTTTCCAAGGTTTTGCTACTAAAAATTGTGCTGCTCCAGTGGTGCAATCAGTCAGCATGCAGTGCTCATATAAATTGTGCTGCTATAAGCATGGATATGCATATATCACTGTGGTAGAGTGCTTTTTAAGTCTTTGGGGAAGATACATAGGAGGGAAGTAGCTGTGTCAAATGGAACTTCTAGTATTAGTTTTTGAGGAATCTCCATATTGATTTTCACATTGCTTATACCAACTTACACTCCCACTAGCAGTGGAGGGGGCGTTCCTGTTTCTCCACAGCCTCTCCAGCATTTGTTATTGTTGGTTTCTTGATCACAGCCATTCTTTCTGATGTGAGATGGAATCTCAGTATTGTTTTATTTTCAAGTTTTTGAATAACCAGTGGTATTGAACATTTTTCCATGTATTTATTTGCCATTTGCCCTTCTTTGAGAAGTATGTTTCAGATGCCCATTTTTGGATTGTGTCTTTAAATGGGGGGGAATCTGGTTTTTTTTTTTTTAAGTTATGTATTCTAGATATTAGTCCTTTCTCTGAAGAGTAGCTAGTAGAAACTTTTTTCCAATTCTGTGGGTTTTCACTTCACTACATTGGTGTTTTTTTTTTTTTTTTTCTCTCTGTGCAAAAGCTTTTTAATTTGATGTGATCCCAGTTGTTGATTTCTTATAGTACTTCCTGCTCAGTCAGGGTTTTGTTCATAAAGTCTTTTGCCTACACCTATGTCTTCAAGAGCTTTTTTTATTCTCTCTTCCAGGAAATGAAATGTTTTTCATTTAATATTTATATCTTTGATCCATTTTGATTTTAGTTTAGTGAGAGATAGGAGTCTAGGTCAGTGATAGCAAAACTTTTAGAGACTCAGTATCCAAAAGGCAACTCAAAATCACTTATTTATTGCAAAATGCCAACACTGCAATTAAACCTGAGCACTGAGGTTTTAGTTTAGAAAACACATGGGGGGGGGGTGCTGGGGAGATGGCTCAGTAGAATAAGTGCTTCCCTGGCAAGCACAAGGGCCTGAGTTCAATCCCCGGTTCTGCCCCCTCACCCCCCCAAAAAAAACACATCCGGGTGAGTTGCCCCGCATGCCGACAGAGAGGGCTCTGTACACCCGATGTGGCACGAATGCTGTAGGTTTGCCACCGCTGGCCTAGATTCAATCTTTGGCATTTGGAAAGTCAGTTTCCCAGTGCCATTTATTAAAGAAGTTGTCTTTCTTCCAGTGAAAATGGAAAATGTTTGGTCCCTTTGTCAAAGATGAGGTAGGGCCAACGAGATAGATCAGCTTAGGCAAGCATAGGCAAGCATGCAGGGACCGCAGTTCTGTCCCTGGCACTACATGCTGTGTCAGCCCCGCCCCCAGGGTGAGCTGAGCCCGCCACCAAAAAAACCAAAGATGAGGTAGCTGAGTGTTCCTGTATCTTGTAGTTCCTGTATCTTTTAATCTGATCCACTGATCCTCAGGTCTCTTGTTTTGCCAGTGCCATGCTGTTTTTATCACAGCAGCTGTGTAGTATAATTTCAAACTGGGGATTGCGATGCCCCCACCTTGGCCTAGTTTCCCAGAATGTCTTTTGCTCTTCCAGGTCTCTTCTGGCTCCATATGAATTTTAAGACTGTATTCTTTAACTCTGTGAGGCATTTTGATTGGGATTGCATTAAATCTGTATAACACCTTTGGAAGTATGGCCATTTTCACTATATAGGTACTTCCTACCTAAGAGCAAGGGATATCGCTGCATTTTCTGATATCCTCTTCTATCTCCTTTTTCAAAGTACTGTAGTTTTCAATGTAGAGGTCTTTTGCATAATTTGTTAGATTGGTTCTTAAGTATTTCATTATTTTTTGAATGCTATTGTGAAAGATGGTGTTTCCATAATTTCTCATTCAGGGAATTTGTCATTTGTGTAGAAGCATGCTGTTGAGTTTTGAGTGTTAACTTTGTATCCTGCTATGCCACTGAATTTAGTTATTAAATCTAAAAGTCTTTTGGTGGAGGTTTTGGGGTTTTCATGTCATCAGCAAATAATTATCATTTAACTCCTTTCCTAGCCATATTCTTTTTATTTATTTATTTTTGTTTAATTGTTCCAGTTAATATTTCCAGAATTATCCTGAACAACAGTGGTGACAGTGGGCATCCTTGTCTTCTTCCTGGTTTTATTTTATTTTTTTCCTTCTTGATTTTAGAGTGAAGCTTTCAGTTTGGGGGCACTTAGTATGATATTCTCTGTTGGGTTGTCATAAATGGCTTTTATCAGGTTGAGATAAAAATTTCCTATTCTAATTTTCTTTAGAGTTTTTATCATGAATAGGTAGACTTTGTCAAATGCTTTTTATCAAAGAATATTTGTCAAATGCCTTTGTCAAATGTCTATTGACGTGGTCATGTGTTTTTTGTGCTTGTTTCTCTTAATGTGATATATTACAATTTTTGATTTATGTATGTTGAACTATTCCTGCATTTTGGGATGAATCCTACTTCTGTATAGTGTATAATCTTTTTGCTGCTTTGGGTTTGCTAGTATCTTATTGAGGATTTGTGAACCTGTGTTCATTATTAGCTTGTGGTTCTTTTTTGGTTGGATCCTTTTCTGGTTTTTGTATCAGTTTATTTTTTATTTTTTAATTTATTTTATTTATTTATTTTTGTATTTTAGGGAAGGGCCTATAGGGTGTTCAGGGTCTCACTACTATATTTGACTAATAGTGATCCACCTATTTACAGCCTCTCAAGAGTTGGGATTACAGGTGTGTGCCACCATGCCCAGTGTCAATTGCTATCTCAGTGTGCCCTGGGGGTAGGGCAGAGCAGGCATGGCAGGATGTCAGGACTGGCGATGGAACCCCTGGCCCCTGCGCCTGCTTGCAGGCACTTTAATCCGCTAAACTATTTGGTTGACCCCTACTATCAGTTTAATGCTTGCTTTCACCAATGAGTTTTAGAGTATTACTGTTTCAGTTACTTTTCTCTCTTTGTTGAGACAAATACCTGACACTCAAAATGAAGGAAGGAAAGGTTTATTTAGCTCACGGTTACTGGAGGCTTCAGTCCATACTCAGCTGGCTCCAAGGCAGAGTGGCACATGGCAGACGGCAGCAGTTCATGGTGGCAGCAAAAAGCAGGAGAGCAAAGGGAACAGTATCAGCAACAATGGCTACGGAGAGGAAGTCTGTCTCCCTTAAGCTGCATTCAGGCTACCTGCCCCAGACTGGGAGAAGTACTCATATCTATAATCCCAGCAGTACTAAGACCCATAATCCCAGTGGATCATGAGTCAATCTTAAACTCTAGCAGTCCCCACCCCCATGACTGCATGAGGCTTTGGGGGGACAACTAGACACAAATCATAACTATTACTTCCCTTTAAATTTCTTTAAAAAGTTTGAAGAGTAGTGGCATTAGGCCTTCTCTAAAGTTCTCATAAAATCAAGTAGTGAATAATCCATCAGATCCTAGGCTTGTTTTTATATAACTTTTTTATTACTTCTTTAATTCCATTGACTATAGTTCATTTATATTGAGTTTAGAATTTTTATATCTTCTTGATTCATCTTTCATAATTTATATGTCTAGAAATCTTTCCATTTCTTCTGAATTTTCTATCTTATTAGAACACTGTTTCTCAAAGTAGGTTCTGGTGATCTGGATTTCTGCAAGATCTGTTGTGATTTCACCATTTTCATCCCTAACTGCAAGGATTTGAGTCTTTTCTCTCTTTTATTGTTAAGGCTAGAAAAGGACTTGCCTATTTTATTCGATCTTTCAAATAATTAACTCTGATTCATTGATTCTTTGTGTTGTTTCCATAATCTCATTTGCACTAATTTCTCTCTGATCTTTACAATTTCCTTCCTCGTATGAGCTTTAAGTTTAACTGGCTCTTCTCTTTCTGGAATCTTGGGATTAAAATTAGGTTATTTAATTGAGCTAACTTTGTTTTTCTATGTGGGAACTCACTACTATAAATGTCCTTTTTAAGATTGTTTTCGTTGCACCCCATAAGTTCCAGTATGTTGTACTGACATTATTGTTTCATTGTAGAAACTGTCTAATTTCTTCAATTTGGTTGTTCAGGGGGGTATTATTTAATTTTCATGTGCTTATGTCATTTTTGCAGTCCATTTTTATCAGGTCCCTGGCTTAGGACCACTGTTCTCCTGCTCAGGGGTAGGATGACAATAAAACACAGAATATATATAAAAATTGCAAGGAACACCAGGACAGTTGAAACCCAATAAAGACTTATGACCACAAGGCACAGTGAGCTTGGCCTTTATTGGGTACATTGCTTGATTGGGAGGTTTGCTGAGGCACTGTGGAAAGTGGTGCTGGTGAACTGCATTTGAGGTCAAGGATCAAGAATTGAGGAATAATACATTTTTGGAAAAGCACACAGGAATAGATCATAGTTAACTAGTAACCTGATTGTCTGCTAACTGGAATTGCTGAGATAGAAGGAATTTGCATGAGTCAAGTCCTCAGCTGCCATATTGTTTTGCTTTAAGGCACCAGAGCTTTACAGACTCTGACTGTTTGCTAGTCTCAATTCTGGCCATTGGCTTAAAGATTAACCTGTCTATAAGCCAGCCACAAGTCTCACCACAAATCAAGTAGGCTTAGGACAGACTTTCAATTTATTCTTGTGCCAATTTATTAATATCAATCACTGCCTACTCTGCACTGCATCTAGCTGGCCCTCAGCACCTTTGGTCATTTGTTCCAATTTCATTGTACGACGATCTGATCATATACATGGGATATTTCCTATTTCTTTGCATTTACTTTGGCATTTCTATGAGCTGATGTTGGGTATTTTGGAAAAAGCCCCATATGCTGCTGAGAGAATGTTTATTGTTACTGGGTGGAGCACTCACTAGATATCTACTAAATCTGTTTGTTCAAAGGTGAGGTTCAGCTCTGATATTTCTTTGTTGATTCCTTTGTCTAGTTGATCTACTTATGATAGAGGAGCTATGGGCATCCCCATTGCAACTGTGTTCATGTTTAGCATCAGCGCTGTGGTGCTCTGGGCCCACCACACTGTGCAGCTCTGGGGCCTCTGGACATTTTCCAGTTCATGTGTATGGAAAATTCCCTTCCCCCGTCTCTACCTTTCCATGATTACCTTTACTCCCTGACTTGCAGAGCTCACTTTCCAGGTCCTCTGGCTGCAAAGAGGATTTTCCTGAATTCAAGCTGCCTGTTCTACACCTCTTTATTGCATCACCAGAAGTGCCTTCCAGAAACGGAAGTGTGAAGGCAGTGACAGGAATGCTGTGTGTGCATATACATGAGGAAACCAGGGTCCCCTCCCACAGTCTCCAGCTCATAGGGCCGCTTCCCAATCTTCTGGCCACAAGACAGGCCCCAACTGAGAGTTTTGTTACCTGTTTCTCATTTCTTTCTTTCTTTCTTCTTTCTTTCTTCTTTCTTTCTTTCTTTCTTTCTTTCTTTCTTTCTTTCTTTCTTTTCTTTTTTTTTTTTTTTTCGGAACCAGGGATTGAACTCAGATCCTTTTGTTTGCCAGTCAAGCACTTATCCTACTGAGCCATCTCCACAGCTCCCTGTTTCTCGTTTCTGTGACTGGGGCCCCTCTGGGATCGAAGCTTGGGGGCGATCAAAGGTTGGGGAGAAAAGAGGAAAAAATTAAAGATAAAGCCTAATAGGAAACTCTCCCATATTCAAGTTGTTTCTTCAAGTTTTTACCCCTTCTCCTAACTTGCCTCCTACTGGTTACGGAGTTCTTAGGTGTTGGAATTTTATATTTGTCTGATTTTTGTTTATAATTGTGGGAGAGTTGGATTGTAGAAGGCCAACCTCACCTCAGCCACCTTGGAGTCATTTATATTTACTATGTTTTGTAATCTTATTCTTGAAACAGACTATATCTGGGGCTCAAGGTACAATTAGAGGGTAGAGCAGAGAGAGAGAGAGAGACAGACAGACAGACAGACAGACAGACAGACAGACAGACAAGAGACCTGAGCCATTCTTACTTTTGCTGACTTGGAGACTCCATTTTTTTCTTTGCAGTTTTCTACGGGACTATTTCTAGCCCTCATTTAGGAGTGCATGAAATGAAGATTGGCCACATCCTCTTCCAAGTGGCTTCTGGAGACATCACCAAAGAAGCTGCAGATGTGATTGTAAATTCAACATCAAACACATTTAATCTTAAGTCAGGTACTTTGTTTAGATGATTTTGACTAGTTCAAAATGAACATGGTAGACCCTGCAAAGAAGTCTCTATAGCCAGACTGGTTTGGATAAAATTGACTTGTTCATAGGATTAACAATGTTAACATGATTTGTACAGTGTTTCTTATGATTGCCAGCTGTTACTATGAATGCTGCTTGTTTGTCCTTAGCAATGCCCAAGTTGTAGGATTCTGTCGGTGATGGGGATGGGTTTAGATAATGAGGCAGTCGGTCTGACCCAGATGCACTGTAGCGAATTTTTGAAGTCATGTTTGTTACCATCTGGATTTTCTCATCTAGGGGTCTCCAAAGCAATTTTAGAACATGCAGGACCGGAAGTGGAAGTGGAATGTGCTCTCCAAAGTAAGCACAATGCTGGGTTTTGGTCTTAAGTGATAAGTGGAAGCCTGGAATTGGGAGGTTGTGAAGAGACTGAGGATAGTGTTGGGATTAGGAAGGTGACACATTAATCTTATAATCACAGTTTTACAAAAGAACTCCTGATTGTAGAGATTTAGAAGTGGAAAATAAACTCACAATTAAAAAGAGAAAAAGGGCCAGCCACGCAGCTCAGTGGATGAAAGCTCCTGCTTAGGCAGACACAGGGACTGGGATTCAATCCCCAGTGTGCTGTGCTGGCCCTGCCCCCAGAGAGCACTAGGAGGGCAACTGGGACTGAGCATGGTGGCACACACCTGTAATCCTAGTACTTGGGAGGCTGAAAA